TGTAGCATCAATTATGCTAATGCTAGCTGCCTGTCACGTTCTCTCGTCCTGGCCGCACCTCTGCTCTCTAACCCCACCCCTTCCCCAACTACACCCCCTCCCCTACCCACTTTGATGCATTTTTCAAATTTCGCCTTGGGATGGAGTTATCTTTTCACAGTGAGGTAGGATACACTTTAAATAGGAGTCAGCCTCATCAACAAGTTCCAGAACAGGTGACTAATTATGGCTCCTCCCCTGCCACTCAGGATCTGAAAGGTGAGTGAAAACACACACACACACACGCACGCACGCACGCACGCACGCACACACACACATACCGACACAAAAACACAAACTCCACAATCTATGTCATAAAACAATGTCTTTATATACAAAAACATCAGGGGACATTATTAGACTGTCAYCATAACTACTGTACATTCACCTGCCTGTATCAGTATCTCACTAAGTTTAGTTTAYGCTGACTTTTGTTACATTTTTCTGTAAATGTGTGCCTCAATAACCATCAGAAGTGATTTTCCAGTTTGTCAGAATTTGTCTTTTAAAGTATGTTCTGTTTGTGTATGACTAAATAAAACCATTCATTGTTTATTTTAGCTATTTGATGTGCTGTACTGTCTCCAAAAAACATATAATGAACAAAAAAAGTATATTTTCTAACTAGTTTGTGTTTAGAAACATCTTGACTTTGTAGGAAAATTTACTTATTAAATAGTTGTCCTTTTAACACATTAAACTCTGGGTGGTCCCAGTTGCACATCCTATCAGTYATTTTAACAAGAACCCACTTTGAAATCACACAGTGTAGTTAGGAATGTTCTCGGCTTGTGCTATTTAAAACAGGAAAAGACAGATGGGGTTGACTAAAAAGAAATTCTTTGTAAAGACAAATTGGACATTCCTTGCCCTGGGCAATTCAGATTAGTTCAGTATGACAACCTATTTTTACTCAGAAGTCAGTAGTTCCACCATAATATCTGCTATCTTCCAAATTTAATTCAGTCTGAAAT